TATCTATCTATCTATCTATCTATCTATCTATCTATCTATCTATCTATCTATCTATCTATCTATCTATCTATCTATCTATCTATCTATCTAAAACAAAAAGCTTTCTAGGGAAGGATAAATACCGCATTTGGCCAGTGATTTTTTTAATGAAACGACCCGTGTTTCCAGCAAGAGGCTTCTATTTTGAAAGTTGTTCAAATTTAAACGGGGCCGGGGAAAACGAAATACCTTCCCCTGATATTTGAAATACTTCCACGCACCAATTCTGTCCAATATGTATAATTATTATAAAGGTGCAGTTAAATTCATGTAGATTGGGCCCATCTGTCCATAATTGAGAGAAATCTTGCTTGCTGGTTTTATATTTCTGTTGGATTAAACCACATTTCTGAGCTTTTGATTCAGATATTAGAGTATGAATATAAGAGAAAGACCTTCACACCCTACCACTGTTCAAGGAAGTCTGTGTAGCTGTCAGTTGAATGAAGTGATTTATACTTTTAAACTTAAACTATTGGCTTCTTGAAAGATTATTAAAATAATCTTACATCTAGGTTAAAATATGCTGCGTTATTCTTATGGCACTACTGAAATTTATTAAACTCTTTTGATCCTCAATGGATATTTTAATACTATATTAACATATTAGAAAATACTGCCTAACAAGTTCTGGGGTGATTGTAGCATGTTTTTGTCCCCTTTCTAAAATAATTATACAGGTGAGTTTCAACATGTTCTAAAAGCTGAAGTTGGCTTAATTTTTTAAAATTTACCAGAACAATATTATTTTTGTTGTTCATACGATAACATAGTTAATCTAATTGATCTGAAATGTTATCAAATACAGGTATTGATTTTCCATTGTATGCGAATGCATTGTTCTATACAATAACTGGTAGCCTTTTAAACTTTGAATTATATTTCAAATATAAATATTTTAAAACAAGTATGCCAATACTGCCTCTCCATACTTTATTATATTTACTCTCATTTGAATTCATTATGTACAATATACAGAGTATGAACTGGGTTTGCAAATCCTTGGTATAAGAATGCACTATTGTACAGTATATGTAACTTTTCAAATTCAAGGTATTTTGAGCCACATTTGGTGTTGCAGATTTGGTGGAACCAATACATGTACTTTATACATCATGCTTAATGGTATTTAAAGAATGGGATTATGAATAATTAGGCCACACATAAAACTATATTATAATGAATAAATTCACACTTTACATTAAGAAAAAGATGTTTTTCTGAGAGCCACCTTTGATCGTTGAGTGGAATACAGAATAAGAATTGGAAAGGTCTTTGTATGCCTTCTAGCCCAACCCTCTGCTCAAGCAGGACAACATTCTTCTTAAAAACCTCCAGTGATGGAGCAGCCACAACTTCTGAAGGCAAGCCACTGATTAATTGTTCTCATTGAAAGGAAATTTCTTCTTAATTCTAGATTGGATCTCTCTTTGTTAAGCTTCCATTCCATTTCTTCTTGTCATGCCCTCAGGTGCCCACCCACCATTTGTGACAGCCCCTTAAATATTGGAAGACTGTTATGTCATACCTAGTAGTTCTCTTCATTAGACTAGACATTCCCAGTTCCTGCAAATGTTCATTGTATGGTTTAGACTGTATCCCCTAATCATTTTTGTTGCTCATCTTTGTACTCTTCTCTATACTCTTTCTAGAGTCTCAGCCACTTTTTGTATCATGGGACCAAAACTGGACACAGTATTTCAAGTGCGATCTTATATGTGCAGTATAAAGTGATACTAACACTTCATGTGATCTTGATACAGCCTAGGACTGCATTGACTTTTTTGACAGCTGCAGCACACTGTTGCCTCCCATTAAAGTAGTTTTACCCTAGGACTCCTAGATCCCTCCTACAGTTATTGCTATAGAGCCAGGTACCTGCTATTCTATACCTGTGCATTTGTTTTTTCTTGCCTAAGTGTAAAGCCTTATTTTTCTCACCACTGAATTTCATTTTGTTGGATAGGGCCCAGTGTTCAATTTCCTTCTGAATCTTGAACCTATCTTCTAAAAGCTTGGCTATTCCTCCCAGTTTAGTGTTGTCTGCAAATTTGATGAGTTCCCCTTCTATCCCCTCATCTAAACCATTTACGAAGATGTTGAAGAGAACTGGGCCTAAAATAGAACCTTGTGGTACCCCACTGCATGCTTCGCTCCATGTACATGTAGTTCCACTGAGGACCACATGTTGAGGGTAGTTAGTCAACCTGTTACAAATCCTTCTGGTGGTGATGCTGTCTATTCATATTTTTCTATCTTACCAAGAAGTAGGCTTTGGTCTTCTTTGTCAATATCTGGGACTATACTCCAAATATTAATAAGTGAGTCCAAGACAAAAAATAAATGTGACTCTTTCACAGTTACATTTAATTAACCTTAAGCATAAATAAATCTGGCTATTCAAAATGCATGCATTTGATTGTTTCCAGTCTAACACTAAACATTACATTTGGGCGTTAATGCTTTCAAAGTTCCTAGAAGTTGCACTGGGTAAAAACTCTTAAGATGGAAACTTAAATTCCAGGCAGAATGGAGGATATATATATATATATATATATATATATATATATATATATATA